TAGGAACTATTGGGGAAAGGCTTGAACGCGGGCCCCGCTGCGATGATGCGTACAAATGCATCCGATCTATCAATCTGATCGTTGAATCAGACAGTATCTTCTGCTCATTGCACTTCATGATGGCATGTCATCAGTGTTATTCTGCTCAGTCATCCCGGAGTCCGTGCAATAAACGTTTCAAGCGCTTGAGTCCAACTTTTTGCGAGCATCATGCGCCCTTTCGCCAGATCCGCTCAAGTTGAAGTATACAACTGGTGGACACGGACCTGGACTTACATACACGGTCGGCTAGCAATCATGAATGACGGTTGAATGACGGTTTGGTTTGCACAAGTAGACTTTCTGAAGTAACCCTATGTACCTCACGTTCGATCCAAGTTAAGGGGAGGTATTGACCCCAAACGCGAGCTGCGAGGGCTCCCCACATCCGAAAACACAGGCGAAGCTCGAGCACCCGCTATGTCCGTACTTGTGCTCCTATTTGAGTGCGTGTCGCTCCAACCCGCTGTCGAGTCCTCGCGCGACAGCGAGACCCGCCCCGGCAGCTTGGCTGGCTCGCGCCCCCCCTGCAGCAGCGCGGCACGTTGCGGCGTGAAGAGGAGCAGCTGCTGCATGTCGCGGGGCAGGGCGTCGTATAGGATACGCAGGTCTGCGCGCAGCTTGGCCGCAGCGGGGGGCGCCGTCCCGCGCGCACCCGAGCGGGAGTGCGCGTGCACTTCCAGGAGCAGCTGCTTCTCGACGGCGGTGAAGGCGTCCACAATCTCCACCTCCGACATGCTGCCCAGGAATGCGCGCACGTCCGCCTTGGCCCGAGCCGCCCTGGCAGGGCACCAAAGCAAAATACAGTCGCCGAAACGTATTTCGGAATGAATCTGCTGTGAAGGCGATGGACAGGGGAGGCGTTGCGGTAGAGTGGGTAAAGCAACGGAAAGTAGAAAACACTTGTTAGTGTTGTCGATACTCTCTTGCATGTAAAACAGACTTGTTCCATAGTAAGAATCTCCGCGGCTCACCTCCAGGCGCGGTGCTGTTCGTGCTCCGCTGCTGCGCGGCGGCGCTGGAACCAGGGCTGGAAGTTGGGCCCCTCCACGAAGCGGCGGTACAGGTCGTGCCAGTTGGCCTTCAGCCGCTTCGACAAAAACTTGCCCGGGCCGCGCTCCGCCAGCCCGCGCAGAAACACGCCAGAGTCGAACTGCGGCAGCGGGGGAGGCTCCACGAACGGGGATGCGCCTGCAAACCGGACGCAAGCTACAATGTGAGTTTTACCGCGTTTGGGGTCAGCCGGACAATTGTCGTAAGGATGCTCGATAATCTCGGGTGAAGCAACATAGGCAGCCTGAATCGTAGAGCAAAGCAGGGCAACGCAAACGCCGGCCTTGCCTTCTGACAATGCAACAGGTGGCAAACACGGAACCGTTGCTCTCTCCTCTGCCTCCACGTACACCGTCTCTTCCCAATTCAACAGCAACGAAGTCGATGCAACCACATTGCTTTCGTCGCCAGCACTTCGCTTCTGTAGAGGCAACAACGAAATGCAGTACGGCTGACCTTGCGAGGGCGTTGCTCCGCGGAGGTAGGGCCCGAAGGGCGCCAGGAAGTTGGTGGTCAGCTCCACGAAGTGGCGCCACAGCATGTCGTTGTTCACCACCGCCATCGACTCCTCCGCGCGAGGGCCGCTTGCGCTCGCGTCCACCTGCGCACAGCCAGGCAAGGGGACAGGTCAGGGCATAGTTGCACGATACGTGATACGCGTATCATTATGGCGAAGGGAAATACGCGAATTTTGACGTATAAAAAATTGGCCTTTTAAAATACCCCAAAAATGTGTCGCATGCTTTTTGGCTTTTTCCTCTTTTTGAATCATTTTCCTGGTTAACCAACTTGCGTTTATTGGTTACTGAGCTTGTTAAGGTAGTTGCAAGGCCGTGCAACTCCTGGTCACGTCAAACAAGCTATTTCAGGGCTTTTTATAATGATTTTTCCAAGGAAAAACTTGAAAATCGCTGTTTTTTGTATTTTTGACGCATTTAAGCCGTATTTCCGCCGTATCATTATTTTTTGAACCAATACGGAACAATACGCGTATGATAATCCGGAAACTGACGTATTGTGCAACTATGGGTTAGGGTCTACCTCCAACTAAAAGAGAGCTGAGGCTCAACTCGTGGTCCTTGTACCGAGAGGATCACGTCGTTTGCTACGGAGTTTCCCGGGTGCTGAAAACAGGCAATCTGTTTCTTCTAGCCAATCACGCAAGCCACTTTGGCACCTGCTTAGGTTCCAAGAAGAATCGAAGCCTAAGGATGCCGATATCCTTCGGTTGACGCCAAACATGAGGTGAGTCGAAGCCACAGATCCCAATCAGCCAGGGACTGAGCAGTTTGGGTCTTGCTAATTGCACGAGACTTATCCCACCGCTTACTGACACTAAAACCCGGTGTAAACCGTTCAACCGGCCGACACGGTGATTTTGAAGGCCTAGGACAGTGTGTGAGTGTCGCAGGAGTGCGGAAGAAAGCTTTGGCGTGCGTTGAAAGCAATTACGCTCAACGGTCAAAAGGCATGTACAAGGGGGAGTCGGCTTTAGACGAAGATAGCAAGGAGCCTAAGCGATGCAGCGACCAGCTTCTCCAGGAACTGCTGAGGATACCGGAGGGAGAACGGATGAGCGCAGGGTTCTTACCAGGCGGTTGAGGATGACGGTGTCCGGCTTGGTGGCGGGCACGTAGTTGGTCCACACGCACTCCTTGTGCTCCGCCATCAGACTGATGGGGCCCTGCGCGCGCTGCCGCGCCGCCCGCAACAAATTTCCCCCCGACCCCAGCAGTCGCCGGAAAGGCGACAGCCCCGTTGACATGTTCCGTAGTCGAGATGGGCTCGCACGCGAAGCCGCGGGGCCCGTTTCTGGTGAGGGCCCTGTCACTAGCTGCGCCCTCGTTGGGGGAGGAGTGCCGACAGAGATGACGTGGGGAAGGGTGCGCAGGGCCTTCAGGAAAAAGAGGTTGGTTACCCCTAAAAGGTGCGCTTTGGGTGCGGCCCCCGGCTGCGTGAGCGCTGGAAAGTCGGGGTCGTGGATGGTGAAGTACGGCCGAAAGTCGACGGAGTAGGGGAGAGGGGCTATCAAGTTTACCAGCGCAGCGGCAGCCTCCGAGCACTGTGCGGGGGTGGGGGCGATTAGCAACAAGGGCTCCCCGATCAGGAGGAGCTCCCAGAGGAGCCACAGCTGCAGCAACACGCCGCGGAACAGGCCCCACAGGTCGGCCTCGGGGAACGGCCCGTGGGGGACCAGCTTGCCACCGGCCAGGCAGGGGATGGACTGGGCGTCGTCGGTGGGGGAGAAGCCGCAGCCGGGGGGGAGCGCGCTGGCAGGGGGGAGGTGCGCCTTGAGCTTGGCGGAGCCGACGGGAAGGTCCATAGGAGACCCGAACTGGGGGGGAGGCCACTGGGAAATGATGGCTGCCACCTGTTGGAGAACGGGAAGGGTTTTGACAAGGCCCTACAGCAACCGCGGAGTGCGGCTGCTCTGGCCTCTGCCTGACTATTGACTATATGCCAGAGCAGAATGTGTCATGAGAGCCACATGCGAATCAGGATCGGATAACGGTCTGCTGCAATGAACGTGACCTCAGGCGGCCCGCCAGGATCGCCTTTCCTATCAAGCAGAGCAGCACAGATTCGACCACAGGCCTCGCTGTGAACACTTCGCTCCCTAGTCTTTCCTTGCGTGCTTCCAACGGGCCTCCTCTTCTTAAGGGTTTGTCTGCGAACCTGCTCAAGAGCCTTGGCCCCGGTGTCAAAGTAGAGCGGCCCCGCAATCTGGACCATCGGCCGGAAGACGCCCGTGAACGGCCGCTCCGACAGCAGGACCACAGACTTCTGCTCCCCGCCCCGCCGCAGGCGCTCGTCCTGCCGCTGCCGGTTAAACACAAACCCATAGAGATACCGCACCCGGCCCGCACTGGCGGCACCCCCCGTTTTGCCTGGTGTCGCCCCACTTGCTGCCAGGCTGGGGGAGCGGGGGAAGTCTGAGGTGGCAGTGCGGCGGTGCTGCCCAGGGGTGGGCTGCTCCTCAATTGGTGAGGCCAAGAAGATGGGGCTGGAAGGGTCACTGGGTTGCCGAGGGGTGGGGGTGAGGGGCCCAGAGAACGAGGTGCGGCGCAGCCCGGGTGATGCGGCAGCAGCTCGTTGGCTGTCGAGAGACGGCATCGATTGGAGGAATGACTCCCGGGGGCTCATGCCCAGGTCACCGCTGCCCCCCATAGCGCCCACGGCAGGAGAAGAAGTCCCCAGGTCGCTGACGCCCCTCTGCAGGTGTCGTCGATTCGAGGGTGAGCCCCACGTCCCCTTTTCCGCTGTTCCCCCCCGGCGTGGGCTAGGAATGGCAACCGGGGACCGCGGCTGCACGTCTGTGAACTTGCTGCTGATGTGGCGGTCAAACTCGCCAGTGCTAGCACGGCGCGGCGCCTCTGCGGGGGCCACCTGGGGGGGTGTGCCGCGGCGGCGCAGGCGGAAGAAGAAGAAGCAGTCGTGCACGGAGGAGCGGCTGTGCGCGGTGGCCATGGAATCGGGGAAGCAGGAGAAGCCGATGTCGAGCTCCTCCTCTGCGCTGAGGGCACCGTGGGGGTAGCATGCCTCCAGCAGCTGGCCCTGCTCGAGGTCAAAGCGGAAGGCCGCGACTGCCACCAGCCAGCGGCGCAGGCCAGGGGGATCCACCCACAGGGAGGGGTCCGGGCGAATGGTGCCCAGGGAGCTGGTGCGCAGCATGGCGACTGCAGCACTGCAGGGAAACAGCAGCAACAGCTGAGGCACAGGCCAGGAAGGCTGTGGGACTTGCGTTCCGCAAAGAGTAGCAGCGCGAGGCTAAGGCACGCCCAGCCGGCAGAGAATGCATCAATGGTTGCTAACAATGCCGCCACCATGGGGGAATTGTTCTGCCTAAGTTCCTGATGAATGCTGAAGGCAAGCCCCAAGGCACTGGACAAGGCATCAGCGAGGTGGAGCGCATGGTGAGACCAGAGATTTGCAACCATCCCCGGATTTGATCCATTTCTTCTCCCGTCCTAGACGACCACTCCGCAAACAAAGGCAACAAAGTGCAAGTCTAAGGTGCACTGGTCTGCATTTCATGAACCTGCACATAGGTAGACCCCAAGCAAGGACGCTGAGAGCCGCAATGATGCAGAATGTGTTACCTTATTCCATCACAATCAATTCCAAAAGTGATGAAAGACTCAACCAAAGGACTCAACCGAAGGACAGTTCCTGAAGCCCTCAATGCCGCTGATCAGGACTATGACAGCGGTGCATATTGCCCGCAAAGTAGAGTACTTGCCCTAAAAAACCTGACCAGCAATCGCTGCGGCTTCGCAAGCGCGTCAAATGGAGTCCTGTCCTTTGGGAACCCAACCAGTAAGCTGAAACAATGTTTCCTAAATCCAGCTCTTCCCAGGCTTTCTAGGTAAATTCTGTGTGAAGACGTGAAGACCAGTGAAATGTGAAGACGAGGGAATTCCTTGAAGTTGAAAGGAGACGCCCTAATTTAGGTGGTTAGCAAATCAAAACCGGGTCTTCGAGCCGGTGGTCCGGGATTCCGTGAACTGGTTGTGTTAACCAACTCAAAGTCAACTTGAGACTGCACACTGCAGACGTGGCAAACCCCTGCCACGTGTCAAGTCTAACGTAAAGAATCCTCGGCAGATTGTGTTTGAAATTCTGCCTGTGCAATGCCAATGGAGAATGGGTGCATTGCATTCGCAATTTGCACTAGCAAATGGGCGAGCTCAGGTGAACCCTCTGCTGAAGGACGAATCCAGGGGCGCATTGAAGTCTGCAGCCTGGAGCTTCTTACGCTTGAGGAAGAGATTGCGTGATTCGTGAAGTCTTCGACGGAGTGCTCAGTATTTGTTGGGGATCAGCTAGGCATGGCCAAAAGAAGAGTTCACATTTTTCAAAGCTTGTGTGGGGTTTTCAGTGAAATTCGAGCAGCGCACCACTTGTACAAGTAATACCTATGATCAAGGTTCACAAAATATTGTGCTAGCTTGTACTATGTGGCAGCTCATTGGTAGCTGCTAAGCTGAGCTCACCTTCTTAGGATTACAATGGAAGACCTTGGGATTTGAGCGTTCAGAGACGCAAGCCTTCATCTGAGTGCACAATGTCAATGTGATATGTTGTCTTGCACTTGTCAACGCTTTGCTCAGGCCTCTGAGTGATTGAGCAAGATGCAGTCAGACGATGTTATACTCCAACCAATTGGGGAGAGCTCTGCCTATGGTCAGGGCAGTGAGAGCAGTCCCTACACCAGCACGCTGAGCAAGCACTGGGCAGGCATATTGAAAGCATGGATTACCTGTGGCCTCATCATGGCTGCTGTGATTGGCTGGCAGCTCTACCGGCGAGCAGAGGCAGGCAGGCTGCAGTGGTTTCACCAAGAATGCACCAACAGGGCGCAGGTAAGTCCAGGCTGCCTTGGCCCTCGCAATCAAGCAGGACATTCACGCAAGGTGCCACTGCAGCAGATTCAGACGTGCGCACTCTTGTTCTCGAGGATGGCGGTTTGACTTTGACTGACATACTTCCATCTTTGGCGGTGATCATGGCTGAGAACATGTTAGTCAGACGAGAATGCTATGAAACTGTCAATGTAGAATCCTGCTATGACTATAGACATTCGCAGGGCTCTCTCAGGGCTCTGTGCACGCAGACAACTGTGCGCTGTCTTTTTATTGTTGAACTTGAATCAATTCCAGCGGATCTCCTGCAGGTGCTGGAAGGGGAGATCCAGGCTAGCCTGTACTCAACTGGCGCCTTCCATGGGTTTGTCCAGACACTCCCGACCTTCAATGAAGAAACGTTCCACACATATGTCCGGCACACAAATTGGACGCGGCCTCAGACGTACGCAGTGGTGAGTCACGGGCCTGCACTGCTTGAGTGCACAAAGTCCCTTTGAAAGAACCTCCACTGTCTTGCATCTCATACAAACAAGCCAACACTGCGGCAAACTCTTCTTGGGTCAAAGAATATGGCTCCTTGAAAAGACTCTGCTTTAATAATAAATCTTTTTGAAGTATCAACCAGCTAACGGTTGAGCCTATACTGAGCCGCTGGCCTGCAGGATGCCACAGCCCCTGGCATCTGTGTTTCACCTTGTAAACTCGCGCCGTGCAGATTTTTCTGGAGAGAGTCCTGCACGCACAGCGGAAAGCAGTGGAGGAAAGGATTGGGCACGACTTCCAGATGTTTGCCCCCGACCTGAACCGCTACATGCCAGCCAAAAAGTGCGTCTCAGGGTGCAAGCCCCACAACATGAGCCTCGGTCGAAAGTCCTGATATCCGACCAGAAAGGCGGTTCTTTCCTTATCAAGCCTTGGAAGAAGAGACTTGTCAGTGTTTCAGTCTCATGATGCGGACTGCCAGAAACGTCAGGCTTTGTTGATGCATTTCCACGGTATTCAATTAGATTGAAGGAGACCTTCAAATGATTGCACTGGTCACCTCTCTGGGCATAACGTGCGTGAACTCAGTGAGGCTGTCTGGTGTCCTTCTTGCGTGCAGCGCGAGCGAGTACGCTGTCTTGTGCTTCGACCCTATGATTTCGCGGGAGTACATCTACTTCGACTTCTCGTCCTTGCCGATGCACAAGGTGGCCATTGAAACGACGCGCGACACCAACGAGATGGTCTTTAGCGCCCCCAGTAGGGCCCGCGGCTGGGCCAAATTCGTGGCTTGGCGCGCAGTCTATACGAATGGCATAGACATACAAAACGCAACAGTGGAAGAGCGCAGGGCGGCCTGCCGGGGCTATGTGGGTTCAGTGAGTGCATGGTCCTCACTTTGTATCTTGTGAAGTGCTTGGGCGCAGGTTGGAACCAAGGGTAATTCTTAGACAATGATTCATTTTGACGTGGCCTCAGCTTGGAACGGTCCGTCTGATCCTAAATGTGCGCTTCCGGTTGATGTGTTGTCTGAAGTGCTTCAGTGGCCGCTTGGGCTTTCCACACCCGACCCGGCAAGTCGTTAGATCAAGCCACGACCTTGAGTGCATTGCTGGACTTGCTGGGCTGTTCCATGAGCCTTTTGCATGTCCACTGCCATCTTCACAAGTTGAGGGGGATGGGCCTGAAGGAAGACAAATCCCAGAAAGGTTTCTGGAACTTTTCGACTCCCAGGGGAACACTTCGGGCAAGCCAAGCCCAAAGGCAGCCTGATACAGTGCCCTCACTCTTGGGCCTCTTGCATTGTCGATCTTGTTTCGTTCTTTCTTTGCCACAGACTTGAAACCCTCGGATCATTTTCCAGTTTGGACGCCTCTCCAAACGGCTTGCTGACCCCACTCCTCCTGCCTCCCAGGTCTACAGTTTCAAGCAGCTCTTCGCTGAGGCTCTCCAGAAGTTCGGCAACAACGCCGCAATCCTAGTGCACGGCTACGACGTCACGCCCGACGTCCGCGCGGAGCAGGGCATCATCTTCACCAGCCTGGACGGCGGAGAGATCCCGGACGACGCCGCCGCACGCACCACGCAGTACGAGTTCGTGGTGTCGTTCGAGCGCGGGTTTCGGCAGTACGAGCTGCGGTGCAAGGACATGTCGGGGAGCCGCGGGCACAACGTCCAGGGCGCGCTGGGGTGGGCGGGCCTGATCGTGATCATCGTGCTGCTGGTGGGGGTCATCTTCGGGCTGGTCATGAAGCGGATGCAGGCCGTCGAGCTGCATGTTGAGGAGATGCGCCTCGCCAAGATCGCCGCCGAGGCGGCCGATAGGTAAGCACGATGCGCACCGACGAGTCTGCGGCTCGGGGCCTAGTTCAAACGGGCTTGAGAAGGAGGAGCCAGCTACGACGGTTTAGACAGTGAGCCCACTAGCGGATGATCAGTGCTTACAACTCGGACCTTGCTTTTGGACCCTTGTTCGTGATCACCTTTTCTAGTAAATCATTAAGGTTTCTAAAGTCTGAAACCGTGCATGAGTATTCGTGCTGAGGACCCCGCTGCCCTGATGGGCATTCGCCTTCCAGTTTCTTTTGTGAGAGCGGGTCAAGCAAGGCTTGCCACCAACGGCTGTACTATGTGATCAAAACGTAGAGAAGGGTGTTGAGGGCGCAGGGTCATGCTTAAGGTCTGCGTCAACGGCTCGAAATTGCACAGCAAACCGGTTTCGAGTATGACGGGGACCTGTCCCTCCACTCGCAGGGCCAAGAGCAGTTTCATCGCCAGCGTGTCTCACGAGATTCGTACCCCGATGAACGGTGAGCTTCCCCATTCTCCTCCTTAACGGGTATCGCTACTGTTTCTGCAGTACTCGCAATTCGGAATTGGTGCCTGTTGTTGCTGGTGTCTGCTCGTGTTTCTCAATTGCATGATTCAAAGCTCAGCCCTTCTGCCAAGGGTTGGAAATCGGTATAATGCAAATTGGGCCGAATGTCGTAATTTGACGCTTTTTCGGTATGTTTGCCCGCATGCTGACGTCGTCGGTGTCCGTCATTCCCAGGCATGATCGGCATGACGTCCCTTCTGATGGAAACAAACCTGGTGAGTGATTTGCTCACCACGTAAACCCAGTCGCTTCTGCTCTACGACGTGATTACGAGAATGGTCGTGAGTCCTCCGGTTCTGCGAAAAGCGAGGATAGATGCACTTCATCAGTCGGAAAGTTGGGGAAGAACCAATCAGTCGCATTCGCCTGATATGTTCACCCAGCATCCTTCTGAACTTGCGATAAACGGATGGACAACGAATGGATAAACGAGTGGATAAACGAACGGATAAACGAAGAGTAGTCTTTGCTTCAATGGCTGCGTGCTGCTGCAGGACGCAACGCAGCTGGACTACGTCCGAACGGCGCAGGCGTCTGGAAGGGCGCTTGTTGAGCTGGTCTCAGACGTACTGGACCTGTCCAAGGTACGGCCCTCGCACTTGTTGAAGCTTTTGAATTACCGCAAGGCGGGACGGAAAGAAGACAGGCTTGATAGGGCAATGCCTCCTGAAAGCTTTGGGTAGGTTGTGACTCTGTCTCTTGACCTTGGGCAATCCCCTAGAGTCTCGGGCTATGATACCAGGAGCTTCTGGCGGTTACAATTATTCTATTCGAAGTAGACAGTAGGGTGTCACCAATATTTGTCTTGGACTGGCAATTTCGTTATCACTCCTTTGGATTAGGCCGACAAGCAGTGAGCTAATGAAATGTGCATTCTGAAACGGCCGACTTGTCTGCTCGAATCGGTGGTCCGCGCATGTTCCAAGCCAATTTAATCAAAAAATCCATTGATGATCAAGTTATGCCGCATCTCTGCCGGAGATTTGGAGCTCATGTCGACCTGGTCGGCGCGCTGTCTAAAGTCGCCGCCTTGTATCGTGCTCCAGATCGAGGCGGGCCACATGGACATCGAGGCGGTGTGCTTCGACCCGCGCGGCGAGGTGGACGACGTGCTGAGCCTGTTTGCGGACAAGGCGCGCCTCAAGCAGCTGCACCTGGCCGGCCTCGTGGGCGACGCCGTGCCGGACCTCCTCGTCGGCGACCCCAACCGCCTGCGCCAGGTCCTCATCAACCTCGTCGGCAACGCCATCAAGGTCAGCCGCGCCGCATATTGGCTTTGCCTTTCCGTCCCTCGCTGCTTTCAGATCATGCTGTCTAAGCGAGATCTCCTTCTTTCCTTGTCTGTCTCGGCTGCTTAGTTGGTTCTGTGCGGTGGCTGCCTCAAGGCCTTCCTGCGGTTCTGTCTTCTCCTTGCTGACCTCGCGCTGACCCCCCGCTTCCTACCTCCGCAGTTCACCAAGCACGGCAGCGTTTTCTTGTGCATCAACCTGGCCCTGCCCCAGGCTCTCAAGGACGACCCCCCGCACGCGGCGGGGGTGCGCCGGCGCAGCTTTCAGAAGCCCCCCGTGCAGTGGCTGGACCGCACCCCGTCGCAGGTGCTCGACCGCGATGCGCAGACCGTGGCGCTCGACTACCCCATGCTCAGCCTGCGCCCTGAGTCGCGCCTCAACTCTGCAGCGGCGATCACAACGTACAAGGAGGTGGGCCGGCGCGCGCTCGAGGTGGCGGAGCAGACGGGGCGTGTGCGCCTGGTAGTGTCCTGCGAGGATACGGGGGTCGGGATTGCACCGCACGTGCAGCCACGCCTCTTCAAGCCCTTCCTGCAGGTAGGGGCCACTGCTGGACGGGTTTGGGCCTGTTGCCCTTGTAGGAGTCTTCATGCTTTGTGTGAGTGAAATGATGGATAATCTGCAAGCTGCTCGAGAACCGTTTCGAAACTCTTGACTGGCAGGGTACTTTTGGGTCACCTCCTCAATCACTGGAGGACCAACTTCCTAGCGGAATACAAGTACCACTCATCAGATCAGCCTTCAACATGCCAGGCCGTAGAGTCACTAGTCGTTGATGCGTTGGGCACTTCTTTACGACCATTATTGCGCTGTTATCGAACTGATGGGTCTGTCATACAGGAGTAAAGTTCAGAGGCTCAGCTGAGGGCACCTTCATGGCGCTGACCCTTTTCGACGTGTATATTCCAGGCTGACAGCAGCACCAGCCGAGAATATGGGGGAACGGGCATCGGTAAGCGTTTCATCATCTTGATGTGGTTTCCGAGCAGACTCCGAGCAGCTGAGTCCCTTATCAGGCTGGCGTTGCTTGTGTGCTTGGTTGACACTGGCACATATCGATCAGAAGGGTTGTTCTTCGACTTCCCGCGGGTTTTCTGATCAACATCATTCGGCCTTCAATTTTCATCAGGTTGTCGAACCTGCTCAATCTTTGAGGGCAGATCTTTAAAAAAATGCTTTCCTTGCTTTGGTCTCCACGAAGTTACCGGGATATAGGTACAGAAAATTGAGAAATATGCACAGCCAATCTACAAAGCGCTGTACGTTAGAGCCTAGTACGTCTCGACGAAACAAAGCGCAGAGATTGCGACCATTTGGGGTTCTCTGCAATCCATCCGGCATCCGCGTGCAGGGCTGAGCATCTCGGAGAAGCTGGTGCGGCTGATGGGCGGCAGCATCCGCGCGTGGAGCCGGTACGGGCACGGCACCGTGTTCCAGTTCGACGTGCAGCTCAAGATGCCGGGGGCCAAGGACCGCGCTGCGCTCAGCCCCAACAGCCGCGCAGGGGAACTGCGCCGCAACCTAGAAGGCCTGCGGGTGAGGCCGACATACAGAGTCCGCGTCTCGAGGCATGGAAAGATCACCTGCCACCTGTTGAATATCCCTCTTTTGCTGTGCCACTTCTCCTGCCAGGACCAGCCTCCAGCAAAGATTCGTGCTTTGCTGGAGAATAAATCGAACGCCACGTGATGCACACAGCTGGCAAGGGGCGCATGCGACCATTGCGGAGAAGGTGCGTGCCCGAGAGGTCTATACCTTCAAGGCTTTGCAAGCGATGAATTGAAGTATTGAATCTTTTGTGCTTGCCAGGTGCTGGTCGTGGACCCCAACCCAGTGTACGCAGAGATCGTGTGCAGCTGCGTGATCCGGTTGGGTATGCTGGCTCACGTCGAGAAGAGCGCCGAGGCGGCACTGCAGGTGAGCCCGGCACCTGAACACGGCTCCCTCGTTGCGTTGGATGAAGGCCGTGTGCAACGAAGCGAGCTTTGAACTCGTGCAAGTGACTGATTATTAAGATCCCTCTCTCGCACCAAGTCCAAAGTTTCGGCAATTTTAGTCAACCAGTCCACAGACTTTCGAAGGGTTGAGCATACTGCGCTATTGCAAGTAGACTCATCAGCGGATCGTCGTCCCTTTTCAAGTGTGGTAGCAAACCCTTCAACCGCCGTGTTCTTGACTCACCCTCGCTTGTCTTTCCAGGCGGCCAAGGCCGCAGCCCACGCGGGGCAGCCCTTCCGCCTGCTCTTCCTTTGCGCGCCCGCAGCCCTAGCACCGGACGTCCGCACCTCCACCGAGGACGCTTTGAACCCCGAGGCGGCGGTTCCCAGCATCGCAACGCGCCAGCCGGACGACTCCATCGTCACACGGCTACGGTCACGCACGAGGCGCGACATCGACCTCACCCCCGTGCGCATGTCCCGCAACTCGGCGGGCGAGCGCCGCGCGTCGGCAGACTCGCTCGGTGCAGCGGCTCGAGCCCGGCGGCGCGCGAGCGCAGGGGACGAGGCGCCGGGCTCGAGCGAGCGACACGTGGCGCTCCCACCGGAGGCGCTGGCTTTGGCGGACGGAGTGAAAGGCAGCCCGGAGCTGCGCGGGCTGCTGTTGCTTGCGGTGGTCGCGGAGGGCGAGAAACTAGAGGCGGCGCTCAAAGCGCGCGGGTTTGCGGGGGCGGTGGTAGCGCCACTGCGGTGGCAATCGGTGCAGGCGGCAGTGCGGCAGGCGCTCGGGATGGCGGCCAATCAGCGTGCAGACAGCGCGGGGCGGAGCAAGGTGCAGCTGGAGAAGTGGCTGCGCGGAAAGAAGGTCATGGTCGTCGACGATACGCTGATCAACAGGTGAGTGCCACTGGGGGCTGGGGTCGCCTGGAAATCCGCGTTCCTGGCCCATTCTTGAAGACACGCTCGAGGCAGATGTCCATAAAGGGAATCCTACGTGCTATTGGAAGAAAGACCTGCAAATGCGATGCAAGTGATTTAGAGTACTGTCCTCACGTTCGATGGTTTTACGAGTGGTCGCACCTTGCTTTTGTGACCGGCAGCTTTCAGAAATGCTACATTTGCACGGGTCCGATCCCGAAAACAGTCACCCAAACCGAGGGAACGCAATCACGCAACCTTTTCAACGCCTGCGTGGTTCACAGGCGCGTTGCGAGTGCGATGCTGGCGCGCTACGGGTGCTCCGTGCTCTCTCTGAGCAGCGGGCAGGAGGCGATCGAGTATTTGGAGAAGCACTGGCGCGACGGCGAGGGCGAGGCCATCGACATTATCTTTATGGACGTCCAGATGCCGCTCCTCTCGGGCTACGAAACCACGCGGATCATCCGGGAGAAGGAGCGCCAGTACTGCAAGTGCCAAACGGAGCTGGGCGGCGCAGGGCCGAGCAGCGTGCGGAGGAGAAAACGGAGCCAGGGTGAAACGGCGTCGGGGGAGATTGAGGAGATTACTCCCGAGGGGTTGGGCGTAGTGGGCACAGAGAGAGTCGGGTGCAGCGGGAGTTGTCAGTACGGGCGGATACCCGTGTGTGCGGTGACAGCGGACGTGATGAAGGGCACGCGCGAGCGGTGCATGGAGGCCGGGATGACGGACTACCTTCCCAAGTAAGTGCTCAGGAAGGGTTTGAGGAGCTTGTTGCGTCGAAGCCGTGGACTTGGAGGGCCAAGCTGCATTGGTGAAGACTGTTTGAAGATCGTCGCATTCGAGCAGCCATTGACGAGACATTCAAGCTTCCTTGACTGGCTGCCGTTCCTTTGAAGCGGGTCCTAACCAGTTTATTGAAACGTCTTTTACGAATCGTTGCTCTTCCTATGATTGTTCTTACGTTCGTGAACTCTACGCCTGCCTCAGTTCCTTACTCCGGACGATCCTGCAGGCCTCTCGACCAAAAGCACTTGCGTGCTAGTTTGGGGAAGGTTTTTGGCCTTCCTGAAGAGCGAGATGCCGAAACGACTTCCCCACAGACCTAAGGTAGACATGTGTTCAGCGGCCAGTCCGTGTAAGGAAAACCTTCTTATAGCCAGCGCACAACACCTGGAACCGTCTAAGCAGACTATTGTAAAGGCTGAGCATTTATTTGTAAAGCTTCAAGAGAGTCCACCGTAGAATCGAGTTGCGCAGCAGCAAAAAATGAGAGTTAGGTGTTGCAAACAATCATTCTGCAGAATTGCTTTGAGCATTGCCGATGACCAGATTCAAGGGCATGCCCCAGAGTATAAGGGCTGTAGCATGAAAGAGTGAATCAACCATTAAAGATGTGTTGTTATAAACAGACCTGCAGATTGAATCAACCAGAAGGACACGGGACATTAGAAGCGTACGGAACATGTTACGGCACAGTACACTGAAAGTAGAAGCCATAAGTCTATGTTACGATCTAGGCTACCTAGTTGCCGGTCTGCATCATGCCAGTTTGATTAGTGAGGATCAAACCCCAAGAGCCCAATTGCAATCGTTTTTATGTGCATGCAAGGGGCACCCCAGACTTGAATTAGGGCGGCTGCAGGCTGGCCTTCAACAACGACACTCAACATCATGGCATACCTACGTGGTATTATCGAGCTTGAATGACCTGGCCGCGCACTTGCGTGGACTTTCAAGGAGAAATGCACTGAGGGATGGTCTCTCATTATCAGTGTTTCTTTCAATACGCGGCCGGGGACCGTCCGATCATTCGACAAGCATGCATGCCAACTTGGCCGGTATCATGACGGTACTCGATCGATCACACTGATCAGTGTGCATTGCAGTGAAAATGATGCAGGAACTGTATAGGCCGGTATAGCGCTGTTGCAGCCTGCATATATATGCATGCGCGCGCGGGCCGCGGGCCCCATGCGCCGCCCGGCCTAGCTGCCAGCGCACTATAATTGAAGGCGCGCAGGCGCGGCACCTAGCGCGTACGGTCCGTTTGCATGCGGCGCGGCCGCATGCCGCGCGCGGGCACCCTTACAGGGTTTTGGAATACATGATACCGTACCATACCATATTGTGCACGTACAAGATATCGAAAATTATAGAAAATCTACGGGCGACAAGTTGTTTACAACTACATAAATGCAATATATCGACGGTGTCTGTTGCCCGACATTACCTACTTCGGTGCTGTGTTGACCACCTGAAGCCTAAGAACTTCAACTAAGTTACAAGTTGAACTTCAAGAAGGAGTCCGACTCGCGCGTCGCGCGTCGACTGTCGCGGCACGCCCAGAAAACAAGGAAAACCAGCAAAGGCCTGATGTGGACTCGGAGCAGCTGACATGGCGCCCCAGGGCTCAGTACAGCTCTAGAGAGGGGACTGGGCAAGCCTGTTCAATCGTGCATTTTACGCTGAATCGGATGCTTTAACGCTGTTTCTCCTGCGGGCGTTTGGGTTAGCCAGCCCCTGAATGACCCGCTCATTTCGCTCCGTCTTCAAACGCGGCCCACATGAGCACGGCCCAGCTGCACTCGCAGGAGGCTCTTCCGCTGCGGGGGGGGAGCATGGCCGCCACCATGACCGAGACAATGCACCGGGGGCTGCATTCCCAGGACCCAGACGGGGTGGCCCATGAGATTGGCATGCTTCTCCGCGGTCCCAGCAGGGCGCGCTTTGAGAACCTCCTCTCGCGCGATGTTCCTCAGAGGAGCGGCAGCGCGCCTCCCAGCGTGGAGGGCAGCCTGGCTGGAGTTGCGTCTCTAAGTAACCTCTTCCACAGCCAGAACGGCGGGGAGGCCCTCACGGCGCGGGACAAAGCGGGCATTGCAGCTGCGTATGCCGAGGACTACAACATCCCCGAGAATGAGAAGGAGCTGCGGTCTGACCCTGCTTACCTGGCGTACTACTACTCCCACATCAACCTGAACCCCCGCTTGCCCCCACCCCTGATTTCGTGGGAGAATTGGCGGCTGGCGCAAAGGTTGCAGGCGGGGTTGAAGGCAGGGGGAGGGTTTGACGGTGCGGGAAGGCCGCGCGGGGTGGCGGAGGAGAATGGGCCCCTGAGCAAGTCGCTGTTTGCGACGCAACCGGTGCTGCCGACGCATAGGGAGGAAGAACCGGAACAGCTGGCAAATGAGAGTGACGGTTTGGATATGGGCAATTCTGCAGGTGAATTTCTTGGTCTTGGCCTCTGGGTCCGCGCTCAAGTGTGAAGTTTGCTGCTTTCTATGAAGCGGGTTGCGGTCGAATCTCAGTTTGTGAACCTCTCCGGCCAATTTTTTTTGGCTTGAAGCAAGAATGTGGGTAATGCTGCATGGGATGAGATTGGAATGTAGCAAAAAGAGACGCTACATTTTGTCGGAGAGAACGGCCGGAAGCCCCCCGGTGCTTCGGACAGGATGGAGAGGTACTCTTCAATGTTTTGCATTGCAACATGTCGGGTTTGAATTATGAATGTAGGTGTGTTGACATGTACAGGGGTCCGTTACCACTGCTTTCTAGTGGCCCATTTGAGTATCCTTGTTGTGCTCTCTCCAATTCAAAAACCTCAAGACCCCGGGCTTCATCTTGATCCTCAGAGCATCAGAGAGAGTCTCGATAGACATCAGCTTGGCACATGATTGTTTGCAGCAATTTCAAATGAAGGGTTTTCTACATTGAAATACGTGGATTTTAGGGATCAAGGAAAGACCTTGCATTGTAAGTTGGAGCCTGGCTGTTGCCAGAGGCTTGAGGGCACTGCAACTTGTGGTCGCATGCTTTCAGAATATGTTTGGCCCATTTTTTGCCGACCTTAAGAAACATTTTGCTTGAAAGGACGCTGTAGCATGTTCGAACTTCTGCTTCATATTCCAATTTCTGCGAGAAATTACGCCCAGATTGCATTTTTGAGAGCACTCCGTTGAACCACTGTCAGGTGCCAATTTCGAGGTAGTCCTTATCTGGCCTCCCGTTTTGGGCTCGTCACGGAGCTCGTGCGAAAATGCGGGGTGCATTACCATGCACATTCCGTGCTACACATTTGCGGTGCAACTTGTGCTCGTCAGTTCATCGAAAAGTAGCAAGCTATCAGATGCTGCAGCTTTGAAGACTAGAGCGCAGGTGCTGAAATGAACTGTGATGAGGTGGTAAAGGTCCAACGCGCTCTATGCTTCATTGGTTGAGAAAAGTTTGTCCGACCGGTTGGGTTGGATACTGTGTTCCAGATCGAACATTGATTTCAATCTTGACGAGCACCCTTAATGTGGCAAAAGCGAAGTAGAGTTTTGAGAAAACTTGGACATATGGTGTCAGCTTTTTAGATGAAGTGCTGATCGTCTTTCCTCCGCACCACGCGGCTTATTGAGTCGTCGTGCCAGAGTTGACTTGAAATGTGGCCATGCTTCAAATTGCATCCCTTATGTTGCAAAATCTGGCAGAAAGCTAGGGCAGAGTGCATGTGAAGCTCAACTGCTGCAGCATGTGGTACCAATCTTTCCATTGCAGGTCCCTGGTCTTCATGGGATCCATTTTGTACCGAAGCATTAGCTGTGTTTGGAGCTTTCTCTGGATCTTTTTGGCTGTGCAACAGTGGACCGGGGGGTAGGAAGTGGCAGTCACTGTTGCTCTACTACCCCACCCTTTTCTCCAAGAGCAAGCAAAGAACAGCCTGACTCGGCCGCTGCACAAGTTGACACACCCCAACAACTTTTCTTACACTTCCTCTATTTTCCAGCTTGACATGTTTCCATAAGCAACACCCAACTGCCTTGCATTAAGTGACTGTGTTTCTTTCTTTTCTTGAAGGAATGGGCGGTCTCTCGAACCCCCAGCACGATTGGCAGCGAGACCCTGGGGTGCTGTTGGGGCTAACCAGCATGGGGCTGGGGGCCAAGCCCAAGAGCCTGGTGGACCTCATCCAGGTGCGGCGCTTGGGTTTGTCGGTAAAGCCTGCTTGTCAGAATCGCAAGAGATTTAGCGAGAGAAAGAATGCAAAGAGTTTGGCGTCATGATTTCACCTGCACAGTGCCTCGTTGGCAGGTGGTCCTATGTTTCCGTGACAAGCTAGCCTGATTACAGTCATGCCTTTCTAGTCCTAATTGCTCTTCGACTGAGAGCTTCTTCTTCGAGTAAGTGATCATATTGAGCTCCTCTATTATGCCACCAGAGTTCACTTCCTCTGCCCCTTTGTTTGCAAACAGAAATTATCCCCAGTCCAATATGTCCCTCTTGTATCTTTAAAATCCCTCAACTTAGTCACCCCCCCTTCTCATCTGCAGGAGGATTTTCCCCGCACGCCCTCCCCTGTCTACAGCCACTCGCGCAACGCCAACCGCGATGACGACGCGCCTTCGCTCCTGCAAGAAGCCGCCGCGCTGCACCGCGCTGAGTCGCCTGCGCCTGTCCCGCGCTCGAACACCGCAACACCCAAACCTTTGGGCAGTCTGGGCATCCCCTCCCCTGCAAGCACTCTCTCAGGCCCCCCTTCGGTGGGTGCTCCACCAAGGCACGCGAGTCCCGCGCCAATTGGAACGGGCGCTACGGCGGGTTTGCATGAGGGAGGGGGTTTGCACAACCTTAGCCGCGCGAACAGTGCGTCGGCGTCGGATCTGACGGCCCAGATGCAGGGGTTGAGGGTCGGAGGAGGAGAAGGGTTTCGGGATGGGGGCATGGAGCAGGAGCACCAGGTACATTCGCGTGGGGGGGAGAGCCACAGGAAAGCGCTGCATCCACAGGTGGGCTACCGCTCTGACGGCACAGACACTTACTCCATGTTATTCAAGCCCATGGTGTCTTCATTGAATAGCGAGCAAGAAAGTTCACCTCTCTGTGGAAGGAGTTCTCACATTTCGGGCTGGTTCAGACGAGTCTGAATTTGTGTCCACCTGACTCAACCAGTTGTAACGCTTTTAAAAGCACCGCAGATGGTGTAGCAACACTGTGCTGATGGCTGACACTCTGTGTGAGGAAGTAGGTGAACTGAGGCCACGTGGTTTCCTTGTGCTTCGCCTCTCCATGAATATAGAGTTCGCACAGGAACTTGGTCACCCTCTGAAATTCGTCTCTACTATTCTCTTCCCTTCCAGGACAACTACCGCAAGCCGAGCCACCGTTCCCACCCTCAGGACCACCCCCGCAGCCGCACCAGCAGCATCCCGATGTCCGTTCCAGGGGGCCCTGGAGGCCCCTCCGGCGGCCCCCCCGAAATGTTCAGCGCCGCAGCGGCTGCCGCTATGTACCAGCACATGGCCAACAATCCCGCCTACTTCCAAAACATGCAAGCGGCAGCAGCCATGTACGGGCCCCAGTATGCCGCGGCAGCCGCAATGCAAATGGGGGGTTTCCCAATGAGCCCAACGATGGTCAGCCCGTTCGGCAGCTACCCCCCCTCGGGAATGATGTACGACCAGGGGGGTGCGGGGATGCATCCCATGTACCGGGGCGGCGCCCCCCAGGCGGATCCCATGTACATCGCCTACCTCCAAAGGAGCGCCGATGACGCGAGGATGGGGCGAGAACCCGCTCCTTATGTGGGGACGCCACCTGGCGCTGGCGGGGAGCTTCTGATGGAGCGGGGGGCTTTGGGTGGTTTCGGGTTCAGCCCTGAACGCCGCCCCGGGGGGGTGAATGTCCCTGCCCCCAAGGGGGGTGGCCACAGCCCGGCGTACTATGGATCCCCCCCTGGGGTGGCGCCAATGTATCCGGGGCCTGCTATGGCGCCTCTGGGGGGGGTGCGAAGGGAGGAGAGGATGGCGAGGGGGGCCCCGGTTGAAAGGGGCCGGCAGCCCCCCGGGTATGGGCAGTGGGGCGGGGAGAAAGCGGAGGAGACGCGGGGGTCGGGCCTGCTGGAGGAGTTCAAGAACAGCAAGACGAGGAGGTTTGAGCTGGCGGACATTGTGGGGCATGTCGTGGAGTTCAGGTGAGGGGCCCGCGCCGGTCGGCAATGTTCAGGAAACCCTTTCACAAGGTTGGCCTGGCGTTTGGTGATTTGCTGGGAACACATGCTGTTGTTTTGGAGGATGTCAGGGTCCGAAGTTGCAGAAGGTCACGGTAACCGCCCTCCGGCACAATGTGGCTCAAGGAATCAAGCTGGAATACGTCTTAGAGTTGGCAAGCCTGGGGGTTTCTTTGACTGTGACTTGGTAGAAGCCGCAGTCACCGCTATAGTCCAGTGAGCATCGTTCCGAATCTGGATTGCTTGTGTCGTCCTTTTAAAGATCCGACTTTGAACCTGGATGCAACTTGCTTCCGAGCCTTTGTGCTTGATGTCGACCACCACTTTCGGCACAATCCAACGGAAGCAGGTCATTCCTGGGCGACAGACAGGGTGCACACTACCAGCTTAAGGAGTAATAAACTCCAACCTGGCAACAGAAGCTGCAGACTTTCTACTGAGGCTCGATCCCTCAACACTTTGTGTGGCCCCTGTGTGCAGTGCGGACCAGCACGGCAGCCGGTTCATCCAGCAGAAGCTGGAGGTCGCACCCCCCCAGGAGAAGCAGATGATCTTTGAGGAGGTCCTCCCGCGCGCGCTCACGCTCATGACCGACGTCTTTGGCAACTACGTCATACAGAAGGTGGGGCACACAGGCCAGCCCGTTGCAATTTTTTTATAGGTCACAGCGCCCATCACTTCGGTGTTCGGGAAAACTTCGTTGCATGAGAGCAGGTCGCTTTGAGTGCCGCTTCTCGGAGATATCTCAAGTCGCCTTTTTCTGCTGGGGTTTTCGCACTGTCTCGAAGTTGCTCCGAAGCTTTTCGATTAAAAACAGCGTTTGAAAAGGCTCGGAACCAGCCTTCTGCTCGAAAAGATGCTTCAAAAGCAGCACTGCGGGGCGTTATCGTGGGCCGTTCTTGTGAGACATCATTTGGTTACAGACGGTGCAGAGCTCCGCCAAGAAAGCCAGCAACAGCTTATAAGGGGCTGTTACATCTGTTTGCGCAGTTCTTTGAGCACGGCACCCCTCCCCAGCGGCGCGAGCTGGCGAAGCAGTTACAGGGCCACGTGCTGGCGCTGTCCCTACAGATGTACGGATGCAGGGTCATCCAAAAGGTGAGGGTCAGCAGCTGCTTATCCTAGCCTCGAAAGGGGGACGCTGATTTTTGGACTTTGGTCGAAGGCTGTTATACGTGGAGGCTGGTGGGGTTTTTTCTACCCTTAGCTCTACCCTCACCCGCTTTGGTGTTTCGAAGCTTTTGTTTTACAAAGATACGCTTAGAAAAGACAACTACTGCTGCCTCACTACTTGTCTGCGAGCGTCTTCGGGATTAGCACCATCGCTGAACCTCCACTTCAGTTCAGGGCCAGTATGTCAAGTGTCCATTTAAGTCGCTCCAAGTGGCAACGAGTTCATGAGCTTGAGCTAGCTACAAAGTAGAAGCTGTTTCCAGGTTCCGATCGCGAGAGCGGGAGAAGGACCAGCGTCCTTTCATCTCCAATTCTCCCTTCTCATTGGCATTCCTCGGAAGTTGAGCGCCTGAAGTTGTTGTAATCTCAGACGCCTCAAAGCTTTGAAAACCCACGCCTGCAAAGCCCTTCGAATACGTAAGCATGTGTCGACCCATCCGGGTATCCTTGGAAGATGAACGGCAAAGCACTTCAAAACTCCAAAAATCCGCATTGCACCTCAGAAAAAGAAACGACCCGCCCCGACCTTTCTGCGCAGGCGCTGGAGGTGGTGGACCGTGCGCAGCAGAGCGCGCTCATTGCGGAGCTGGACGGGCAGGTGATGCGCTGCGTGCGCGACCAGAACGGGAACCACGTCATCCAAAAGTGCATCGAGTGCGTCCCCGCCGACCGCATCGGCTTCATCGTCAACGCCTTCTACAGCAACGTCGTCAGCCTCTCCACGCACCCCTACGGCTGCCGCGTCATCCAGGTACGGTGCACTGTGGGCGGGACATTTGACCACCATTCTGAGGTTTGATCTCCGCAGAAGACACGATACTGCGGTATCTTTCCATGCCGACAAGTCTAAATAAACCATCGAGAGGCATCTTGGGTCGATGTTTGACCTTGTTAGCAGTAACGATTCGATCTGCCGAAAGTTGTAGCGTTTCATCTTTAATCGGGGAATCTTCCAGAACTTGATGTGTACCTCCCTGGTTCAACGATCTCTGATGTCATCGTTTTGTAGAAACAACGGACCGTGAAGCTTGACCCGTAGACTTGAACTAGTGACGGTCAAGCACTTCGACCCTGACCCTGCGAAACCATTGCGTTGCAGCGCGTGCTGGAGCACTGCCCGGAGCAGCAGGCGGAGCTGGGCATCATGGAGGAGATCTTGCGCGCCACGACGACGCTGGCGCAGGACCAGTACGGCAACTACGTCGTGCAGCACGTGCTGGAGCACGGCCAGCCCGCAGAGAAGAAGGACATCTGCACCAAGCTCGCGGGGCAGATCGTGGCCATGAGCCGGCACAAGTTTGCCAGGTGGGTTGGTAGTCTTAAAGTCTTTGAGAATATCTTGGTATTGTTCCGAGTGTCTTTTCCATAAAGGGATACGGAGGTCGACGGGTTTGGACTCGCCCCTGGATCGTCTATGGTGCGGCATGCAAGTTGAGCCTGCGGTTAAGGACAAGTGCATCCAAGCTGGCGATGGGATTGTGGCCGCGAGACAGCACAAATTTGCCGAGTGGTTTTCAACCGTGATATATCAAGGGGTTCGCAACCTCCAAAATGACGGGTTCAGAGACCATGCGGGTTCAGGATGCATGTTGAGTTTGCTTCAAAACGCTTTTGGGGTTCGTCGCTATTGATTTCCGAAGCTTGTCCAGCATTTCCTTGACGTAGTCCCTGACGCGTCAGTGAGCATGTTTCTGTAGAGACGTGGTGGAGAAGTGCATTGAGTACCGTAGCCGCATTGAATTCCGTTTGACGTCTGTAGACTAACTGAGCTTTAACCATAATCTTCCTTGGATAGCTGCTGTAGATTGCGTTCGTTGTGTTCCCAAGAACCTGTCAATCCACCCTTTTTGCCACAATAGTTCCTCACATTTTGCGGTCATCTCCGCAGCAACGTGGTGGAGAAGTGCGTGGAGTACGGCGGCCCCGCTGAGCGTCAGCTGGTGATCACGGAGATGCTGGGCCAGACGAACGAGAACGAGCCGCTGCAGGCCATGATGAAGGACCAGTTCGCCAACTACGTCGTGCAAAAGGTGGGGCCTGAGTATTTACAAATAGCGGAGGGGTGTTGGTCTGTGAGAACCCTGTCCGAAGTCTGAAGTGTATGAAGTCCGTATATTTCTTGGACCCGAAAGCTGTTCCCAGAAAGTCTTTGTTTCTAATTGAGAATGTAAAGCTCAAACTCTCTTAGGGCCAGAGGTTGCCGACGAGGGCTCGGAGCTCTTTTGTGTCCAAGGGCATCCTAGTTTTGACTCTGTTGCGCTCAAAAACGTGTTCCCCATTGTTGCCTAAGACTCAGAAACGGCCCTTCCAAAACACTTTTTTGGGTGGCAGGTGCTGGAGGTGGCGGACAAGGGTCAGCAGGGATGTTCAGACTCAGAACTCCCAATCTACATCTAAATACGAGTCGAAGCGCCACATTTGTTTCAGGACGGCGTTTTCGAAGGTCTGTTCTCAAACCCTTGCTTTCGGTGGCAGGTGCTGGAGGTGGCGGACGAGGGCCAGCGGGAGTACCTGCTCGGTCGCATCAAGGTGCACCTGCACGCCCTCAAAAAGTACACCTACGGCAAGCACATCGTCGCGCGCGTCGAGAAGCTCATTGCATCCGCAGGTGAGCCATGCGGAGGACAGGCTGCGGGTGGCAATCACGGTTGCGCTGCAGTTTTGCGAATAGTACCAGCGGGAATCGGAAACGAAGACAGCAGAGAACCACAGGAGCTGGCGGGCTTTTGGCCTTATTTTTGTGGTGCGCAGTTGCTATGCAGCGCATAAACATTCGACGAGCATGTATGCCAAGGGTATTTTTGTGTCCTCGTGTTGGCTCTGGTGAGCTTAGTCGTGGTTGATGACAGCCCTTGTAATACGCCAAACGTCAGTCCGGGGCTGCACGTTGAGATGCGCGAAAGCACAGTCAGAAGGCAACGGGATCAGACGTTTCAGACCTCTGTCCGATGCATTTGCTTGCTGCCCGGCGTACCGGGTGTGCCAAGCTTGCAAGGGGACTTCCCTGACAAAGCCTTAATGCCAGTTCCGTTAGAGAAGCGTAGCTTGAGGATGAGTCTGCTATCAAATATAGCATTAGGATCAATTTCGCCATATGAAGTTGGGAGTGCAAAGAGAAGGCTACGAGGACCAACGGTAGGGTGTTTTGATTCTCTTGTATCCCTTCTGCAGAAAACCCCGGGTCTCAGTCACGACGCAACGACCGCAACCGGTCCGACCACCGCCACTGAGCTGCCCTCTAGTCCACCCGGCCGCATCGTTTCCGGCGTGGATTCTTCTTGGGTGGTCGATGTGCGGTCATAAGCTTGGGGCTTTGTATACAGGATGCATAGCGTTGTGTACAAAATATAAACGAGCAGGGTGGAGTGCGTGTACATACCGCAGAGGGGCGCACTCTAGCCTTGAGTGACCGGCGGTGTTCAAAACGTTCCCAGGCGAGGGGGTTGACGAGCGGGCATGTATGAGGTCTTTGTGTACTCTCTGTGCATACGATTGAGTGACGGACGGGAAAGAGAGAAGGGGAGTCTCCGGGGAACCGGGTGTGGAGCTCCGCAGGCCATTCTTAATGTGGACGATATTAGTTTGCGAATAGTACTTCAGAACGGGTAGTCTCGGCAATTGCAGCTGTGTATAGAGCGGGGGTTTCCATAGAGTTGTAGCCACGCTGTGTACGGGGCGACGGTTTGGGGGACCTTGTCGCGCAGCACACTGTGAAGAGAGACATACGAGTCCGCCAAAACCGTGCATCCCGGGTAGGGCCGTAAGTAGAAATGTATGTAGTAGTACTATCTGTATAGGCGCTGGCGTTGTATATATCGTACAGCTGCTGATACGACTCAAATAAGGGGGTTCGAAATGCATGCGTCCCGCTTCGACTGTACGTTTGGTTGATTGTCGTCTCTGGTCCTTGCTTCTGCATTGATTGTTGCGATGGGTAGTTCCCGAGCCTGGGATTTGTAAGTCCGGCCACCAACTTAATATGGGCTCAATAAAGGACCGCGAATCAATTGAGGCGGCCTCATCGTGTGCAGATATAAATACGGTGCACCGGAAAACAACTACAGTAGCCGCCTTGGCTTCCTACATAAGCTCAGCGTGCAGTCTCAGGCTGGAGATCATTCCAATCATTGAAAAAAATGCAATGACAGTACAAAATGATTCTATACTATGTGTTTCGCATACGCTGCATGGCCTATCACTTTCAATCTACGCATGCCATGATGCATGGGCGTACTCATAGCTGTGTAGATCGGACTCGCCCACGGCGGCCGACGCGCGGGCTTGAACAGCCCATCATGGCATGCGCCGCAGCACAGGGGGCCGGCCCCCGCTTGGCCGCCGGGCCTAGCTGTTATATATACAACGCGGGCCTCAACCGGCCGCAGGGCCTAAGTGAATGATTCAATATGCATATGTTTGTGGCGCTCAGGCATGATAGCATTCCAAGACATGCTATGGGATTGCATGCACGAGGAGCGTGATCCTCGCAGGATTTTTAGGGATATTCATATATGCAGAGGGTGGTTTATAGGCTATGGAGCCGTGGAAACTTCTAGAAGGTCGTTTCAGACCATTAAGAT